ACATTTGGTTTATTGATCTGTGGCTAGAATTTGATTTAATAGTTATTTCCAGTATTATAAGTCCATCCTGTATAATATGGTCCAGTGCAGTATAGTGTGAATACAGGTCTGGAAAATTTCTTGAAAACAATGAAAAATAATGTATTTTTTTTTGCTGCATTTATTTGTCCTATATGTGGAACTTCCAAAAGACTTGGATTAATGTGAAGGTAATTTCCCACAGAAAACCAAATTTAAGGAAAAACATTATTGATTTCTTTTGGGATTCTTAGTTTCCATAATTTCAGAATATTTTCACCCACCTAACGAAGGCACCATACATAGAATTTTATTGGCCATTTCATATGTTTTACAGGTGATAACTTGTCATCGAGAGGCTAAACTGATAGTTCAGAGAAAATTATTTTTAATCCAACACTTTAAAATTTAATATGTAAAGTGCCAATTCATTTTTAAAATCCCCATGTGTTAATTTGCTGACTTACCATTAGATAATATAAAAATAGTTCTAATAAATATAAAACTAAAAAAGTCTATGTATTTCATCTCTGGAACCTACAGGTCCACTGATGTTCAATTTCATTTCTTATGTGCTTTATCTTGCTAGCCTTGTAAGAAATATTAGGGATAATTTTATAGTTAGAATTTGAACTCTCTCTCTCTCTCTCTCTCTCTCTCTCTCTCTCTCTCTCTCTCTGTGTGTGTGTTTGCTTTTCCCTTAATAAGCAGATATCCAGGTACAGTGTCTCTCAGAATTGCTTATAGGGGAGAGTCTTAGTTAATATTTGGTTAATCAATTTAATTCATCATAAAGATTTTCTCATGCCCAAAGGAAAGATAAAGCAGGCTGTTTATAAACCCAATGTTCTATCCACTTAAAAACTAATGTGCAGTGAGAATTGGCAACCATCTAACCCTTATTCTCATGGATTATTTAATTAATAAGAACTCGATAAGTGATTGGTGAATAGGCTTTCTTGGGGTTTCACTTTTGTTTCTCTCTTCTTGTTCAGTTTCTTTCTATTTGTGAAACTCATTCTTGTTTTAAGGTCCTTGAATGCACAAGAGAAACCTTTCCAATGGAAACAAGATTATTGCTAGAAGCATAAGTTTTAATGGGTTTTTTAAAAAATATAAAATACAAAATACTTTTAAGAGAAAAGAGAACCTTTAGGCTTTTCATAAGCATCACCATGAGTGATTTCATATTTCATATAGTAAGTTCAGAACATCCAAAAGAACACGTAAAATAGAAATCAGAAATAAAATCTTTTACTTTTTTGTCAGCTAGTATAATCTCATTTTTAAATTTGACAGTCATCCAAATTTTCTCTGTGGGACCCTTAAAAAATGGAAGGTTTTTTTCCTACATTGTTTTTTTCTATTTTGATGTGAGAGACGCAGATTCAGTTACCATGATTGCTTCCTCCTTTTGCCAAGACCAGGCATCTCCACTTTTGGACTATGTTATATTTGTTTATGAGAGCATATGAATGAATAATAACCAGGCTTGGGTTTGGCTTACTATGGAGTAAGCTCTCAATAAATATTTGCTGGATTGGAAGTGCCTTGTGAGGCACTGATGAGAAATCATAGGATACTGATGATGTCTGCTGACCTTCCATCACAGCCACTTTCAAGTCAGACATCAAGTCTGTTTTCTGTTCTCGGTCTGGAGAACCTATTATCCTTGAAGGCTTTCTTTGCAAAATACATTATCAGTAAAAGCAGAATATGCTATTAGAAAGATATGTGTGTTTACACAGAGCTCAGTAAACTATTTTACACAGTAGTAAAAAATAAAACCAGCCGTATCTCCTCTTTGCCTATAATGTAAAGTACTGTAAACTTCTAGGTCTCAAAAAACAATAATAAATGTGCCCCAGGAAACCATAATATCTTAAAAACTCATATATGCATTCTCACCAGAAAACTTTGCATTTGATTCATTGTGTTGGAACACCCATTCTAAGTTTTCTTACAAAATAAATTTTGCATATTATACCTGGAGGCTCAAGTATTGAATGTACTCTGCATTGCAAAGCCAAACACATACAATTGCAGCTAGAAATTCTATTTTACTTGAAGGTTTTAATACAGATTGACCCAAAGACAGAAATCATGGAATAAGTCTCATCAAAATTGGGTTTGGTATCAATGTTATAAAAAAGTAATTGTGCTAAAGTCTATTACACCTCTGGCTGGCTTGTTCAGTGGTTAGAGCACCAGCCCACAAACCTAAGGGTCTGGGTTCGATTCCAGATCAAGAGTATGTAACTCAGTTGCAGGCTTGATTCCCAGTCTGGTGGGGCTGCATGTGGGAGACAACCAATCGATGTGTCTCTCTCACATCGATGTTTCTCTCTCTCTCTCTCTCTCTCTCTCTCGCCTCCTCCACTCTCTATAAAAAATTAATGGAAAAAATATCCTCAGGTGAGGATAAATACAACAACAGCACACAATACTAAAATAAAGTCTATTACCCAGTAAAGAAATAACTCTGAGATAACCCTTGCTTAGAACACAAGAGAGGGCTCCACAGGAACAGTCCTTGTTAGTTAAAACCCATCGATATTAGTTTATTTCTAACTACTAAAAACTCTGAAGAATGAAAGGAGTACTATTTTTAGGACATTGTTCCAATATGATAGCCAGATTGGATCCGGGGCGGAAGCAGAGGGTGGACCCCAGAGAGCCCTGAGCTGCCCCACCATCTCCGTGGGCCTCCTTACCGCCAGGATGAGCACAGCCGCCCCCCATCCCCTCCCCGCAGACCTGGCAGCCAGGAGACCCAGCCGCGCCCTGCGGGTGGCAGGCACCAACGTGCAGGCTGGTGGCTCAGGGAGCGGCCCTGGGGAGGACCACAACTGCCTCACCCTCTGGCAGGAACAGCAAGGTCGTTGCAAGACAGGTTTGGGGACAGTAAGATGGTTCATTGTAAAAACGTATATGGTTTCATCCACAGGAAGGACACCAGCGAAGATGTATTTATTCAGCAGACCTACCCCATAAAGGAGCATAACCCCAGGAAGTGCCTTGGCAGTGCAGGAGATGGGGAGACGATGGAAGGAGCAGAGGGCAGGGAGGTGGCACCTTCGCAGGCCAGGGTGGCGTTCCAGGGCCAAGCGGTACATGTGCGGCAGGACCAGCGCACTCACCTCAAGCAGTTACCCGCCGGCTGATGGAAATAGTGAGAGTGGGAAAGAATGAAGGTCAGAGGAGTGTTCCCGAGGGCCAGACCCTGCCACAGGCCACGGTGCCCACCTTCATGTGGAGACCCCAGGGGCGCCACCACACCACTCAGGCGTCCTGTGCAGGGAGAGGTGATGGGGGCTGCGGATACCCAGGCAGGAGAACAAGGTAGGCCAGGGAGACAGAATGTGCCTCCAGGGTATAGATAGCAGTTCCTCAGATAACACAGCGGAGGAAATAATGAAACGAAACAAAACACAGGCTTTGCTTATGAGTGACCATATGGAATAGTAAAAAGAACGTAAAACCAGGAGTAGATCTAAGTTCTAGTCCAAGTTCTCTGATTCACTGTATGATTTGGAAAAATTTATGTCACCCCTTTGGGTCTCAGTTTCCTTTTCATAAAGGGAAGGATTGGGAAAAGTAACCTCTAATATTGTTTCTTGCTTTAAAATCATATAAATTGTGTTCATTACTATTTATTATTTTTTGCTCCCAAAAGTTACCAATGAATTTCACATGAAATTAAGATGTAGATTTATTCTATGGTTTTAAAGAATCATCATGTGGAGTATTAGTGAGAGGGAAATGAAGGACGAAATTAAATTTATCACTTGCTTTTATGACCCAAAGGTTCAAATACTGTAGCGGTCATCGGGGCAATCCAATTGAGCAAGGGGTGCACAACTCTCCCATTTGCCGGTGTGGCAGGAGGCACGCAACAATCTTATGTCAACACTGGCTCTTCCTTAGTCCTGCCTTCCTTTCTACTTAGTACATCACATTTAGTTTTTCATTCTGTTATGTGGTACTGGATTCACTCCTGACTCACTGTCTTTTTAGTTGCCCCTTGATTGGAAAATGCTTTTGCTTAAATGTATAGAATATGAACTGTCTGCAAGTCTTCCTGTGATGTGAGTGGCAGAGCGTTGATAAAACGTACTGAGCCTGGGTTTAAGTAACTATAGGGTATTATTATTGATAGGTAATTCAGGTTAAAAAGAAAGTTGACTACTCCAGATTTTTGTTTGTGTTAGCAACTTATTTGAAATGATTGAAATGACATTTGTGTTGGACTGTCTCCAAGGGTCTGGCCTTAGGGGCTGTTTGCAAAAGAACAGTAATTTGACTAATTGAAAAATTTGTGCCTGTTATGATTTCCCATATTGAAGCAACTAAGTTTACATTTGGTGGTAGTTGTTGAACTCTGAAGTAACAAAATGCTTGAATCCTTACAGTGTGCACGTGACTGTGAACATCGGTCTGCCAAACAAGCTATCAGCAGCATCACACATAGACGGTGACTTGTGCAGGAAAAACTGCCAGACAGACAGAGAATTATTTAAAATATCACAGTTTCCTGCACTGGTTCTTCTTGGCCATAAGGGAAAGAAGCGGATGTAAAGACATCTGGAAGGCTTTCATAAAGTGAGAGTTTACTTACCCACCTCTGGGTAGATAGTTTTAATTTCCAAACTCTTTAACTTTAAGGGGAATATATTTGTTCATCACTCTATGGAGTATTGTAGGGTAAGACCTATTACAAATAACAGCCCAATGTGGCTGAATCTTCCACATGTTGAAATTAAATATTTTTTTTAAACTGGAGAATGTAAGAGTACCTAAGAGACTTATTTATGTAGTAGTAGATATTAAACATAAGCCCTTTTGTCCATTCCATGGTGTCAATTGGAGAACATTTTTCTATTTTCTATTTTCTCAACATTTTTCTATTTTTCTATTTTGCTGTGATAGATCATTGACATGCATTTAATACAAGAGAAGAATATGAATATATATGTAATAAGAAAAAAAGAAGTTTGAAGTGGGATTTGCAATTCGGACATGTGGATTAAGCATTTCTAGCTCTTCACTTTTTTGTTGCATCTGAAGATTCTACTTTTGTGCTGATTGGAAATTTGTGCTTGTTTGTATGTGTCTCTTCTGTGATTGGTGGTCTTAAATTTCAGAGTTTTTGCAACTGAATTACTGATTTATTTGTAGTAGTGTGTGCTGACAGCTATTGGACTGGACCAGAGATTCTCAAAATACCAGTGTAAGAGCCAAAGAGCAAAAAGTGTGAGAAAAATATTCTTTGATAAACAGACATGATTCTCATTAGGCAGGTTTATATAAGAAAGAGGCTTTAATTGTTGCAATCCACACCTTGTATATTGGCTCCTATTGTTCAGGGAGTTGCTGTTGACAATACTTTGGGTAAACTTAGAAAGTGTATGTACAGAATTTTAGTATGAGAGTTTTTGAAGTGCTTTTGAAGCTAAGTTATTTAAAATAACATAGACTATAATCTAAAAATAAATTTAATTTATGTACAAATAACCTGATAATTGTAGCTTTCTATAAATTGTGTTTTTTTTAAAAAAAATATATTGAATTGAAACCAAATCCCCATCTTCCAATCTGATAAAAACTTTGGTCATTCCACCTAGAATTACTATTATTGGTTTTCTAATTATATGCAAAAAAATCAAGTGGAATGAAAGGTTCAAAACTACTAAATTCATAGCTTGAGTTTTTAAGAGGTTCTGGGTTGTTTTCATGGAATGTCAGACATACAGTGCCAAGAATACACATTTGTTGTCTTGGTCTCTCTTTTACCAAATGCTTTATTTTTCACAGGAAAACTTTATCTCATTCTTTTATTAGTTTTCTTTAAAACTAACCGTAAGTTAGTTGCTAGTTATTGTGTTTTTTTTGTTATAGAAGGTGATAAAAAAATGAAAAGTGTCCTATTATCAATAGCTTAGAGGAACCCACATCATTTAGACATTTCTTGAGGCTGTCCCACAGGCCAGGCTGAGGGACCCCACTGTTGCACGAATTCATGCACTGGGCCTCTAGTAATATATAATATATAAAATAAGCTGCTCTTTATTTTAACTGGCAGTGTCAATTCTACTTTAATTATCATTTAGCTAACATATTAATGTTAAATGTTTTTATTACTTAAAAACTCACAAATTATTTTTTAAAGAAAGTGTTTCATAATCATAGGCTATGTTATTTGTGGTATGTCAAAATTCATGAAAAAAAATTAGAAAATGAAAAGAATCTTTGTTATAAGTCATTGACAACCAAATATTAAGACTTTGAAAATGTTGTCTAATTGTGACACATATGTGGTGACACTAGTAAAGACTATATAGATTAATAACATATGCCTAATCATTTAAAGGAGGTAGTCGCATCTACTCTTGATAGGCCTATTCACTCTTAAATTGTTTTCTCCTTCATTATAAAATTTATAGATTGCTTATGTTGTTTTTAGAGAGGGCAATATTGCCTTATATCTTACTTAGAGTGTACATGTTTAGGAAACTATATAGCACTACATTTTGGAGAGGAGTGATCTTTTTCTTTCCAAAGCCCGTTTTCTGAGGGTTCTCCCTGCAGCAGTCAGTTTGTACCAGTAGGGGTCAGCCTACATGAACAGCTGTCCATGGGGTATATTATTAGGCGTCCAATTTCAGGACAGAATTATCATTTGATTTCATGCATTGCTTTTCATTTTGGGATAGAAGAATATCCTTGAACACTTACATGGTAATATATAGCTTCTTGCAACTTAATTTTCTAGCTACACTCTTGGCAGGGCCTTTCTCAAAGGATTTCAGTATATACTAGTAGCTAACTGTTCTTTTCCCTTAGCTGTCAAGTTTCTCTTCTGTCTGTTGTCAATTCATAGCCTTCATTGAAATTAAAATGCAGGAAAAAGAGAATGGCTGCGAGCAGAATCATAATTCAGGAAGATGACAATTGCTCACAGAATGACTTATGTGTGAGGGTTACATTATAACTATGCCGCCTTCTCTAACTGTTGGTTTCTATTTTTCCCCCCATATTTTCTCTGGATTCTTGAAGACATTGCGTTTTGTCTTCCCCACAGCATCTAAGGTAAGTTCTTCTTAGGAAGGGGTTATACACTGAGTGGCCACATTATTATGACCACATGACGTTTGTAGACAAATTAGCTATAGTTTCGCCCTGAAGTTGCTAGAGGGACAGACCATTATAAATAGTGAAGCAGGTTGTTTACTACGACAGTAGAAGTGATTTTTTTTCCTGAAGATATGGGTAAACAATGCGATTTAACAGCCTTTGAACGTGGGAGATATATACTGAGTGGCCAGATTATTATGACCACCCCATCAGTACTACGTTGGGCCACCTTTTGCCTTCAGTACTGCGGCGATTCTTCTTGGCATTGACTCCACGAGATGCTGAAAGGTGATGCGAGGAATCTGACACCATGCCTGAGGAATAGCATGTCCAGTTCTGTGAGTTTGATGCTTGTGGAACCAGCTGCCTGCTGGCTCT